TGAATCAGAACATTAATGGATGCTACTTCTCAGGAGAAATCTTTTTTTTGGGGGGGGGGTGTAGCTCAGTGGCTCAGTCTAGCATGCACGAGGCACTGGGTCCAATCCTCAGCACCACATAAATGTAAAATAAAGATATTGTGTTTTTATTTTTAGTAAACCCACAGGAAAGTATTTAGGGGAGGGACTATAGATACAGAACTCTGAAATAGTCCTGAAAAAAATTAGGTTTATAGAGCCCACAAGTGATTAAGCAAGGGATAAAGTGTCAACTCATTAAATCTGGATAAAGGGTACATATGTGTTCACTGTAGTATTTTCAATTTTGCAAACTTTTGTAAATTTGGAAACATTTCCAAATAAAAACAATTTTCCTTCCCTAATGTTCACTTTGTGTTTTCTCTGCCTAAGCCTCGCCATCAGCTTTTTCCTCTAAGGGAGATCCTAGTTAACCTAGCATTTAACCACATTTTGGAAGTAGATGAAGGCCAGCCAATGATGCCCACCTGTAATCCCAGCAACTTGGGAACCCGAGGCAGGAGGATCCCAAGTTTGAGGCCAGCCTCAGTATCTTAGCAAGGCCCTAAGCAACTTTAGTGAGACCCTTTCTCAAAATAAAAAAAATAAAAAGGGCTGGAGATGTAACTCAGTGACAAAGTGCCCCCTAGGTTCCATCCCCGGAAAATTAATAAATAAAATGTAGTAAGTGATAGGTGACTGAGAAGAAAAAGCATTCCTAACACGTGGAACAGTGTGATCAAAGGCAAGAAATGTGACATAAGTATAGATAGTAGAAAGGACTGGTGATGACAAAAGAAGGGCCACCCTAGCGAACCACTGACCTCCCAGGATAAGCCATAGTCTTGCCTGGGTGTGCAAAACGCAGCCCTCCACAGTTTCCCAGAGGCCTCTTCCAGATCCCTTGCACATATGGGATTTGGAGGTAGGATGCAATAAACGGACAGATTCAGTCATCCTTGAGGGAACCAACTTTGCATTTGACAGCACATGATCTGCGAAAACAATGGAACTGAATCTTGCCTATTTACATAGAATGAGTACAACTATTGTCGGAGCGCAGAAGGTAGACACAGTAGTAAAGCTGTGAATGAGCAGCCTGACCGACATCCGACCAATCAGAACCCAGGAGATACCAGCCAATCCCAGCTCGGCGATGCTCCAGTCGGGGCGGGGGCCGACGCGCCCAAGAGTTGTTTGTCTGCCCTCCCTACCCCACCCCTGCCCTGGGCCCAAGCCCTGGCTCCAAGATCTAGGGAGAAGGAGGCTGAGAGGATGCCCAGAAGCTGGCAAAAGGAGGTTAGGCCCCCAAAGTGGAGGGCAGCGAATGCTAAGCCTGCATGATCCAGCCATGACAACACCCGTATTTGTCTTGCGCTCTGTGGGACTCCTCCCTCAGACCCTGAGTCCAAGACGCCCTGTGAGAGCAGATGCAATTATGAGGACAGCTTCTGGAGCGACCTGGTCTAGAAGGATGTCAGGCCTCTTCTCCAAACAACCTTGGTAGGTGGTGGTGCCCTCCCCTTTCTTCTTGGAAATGAAAGAAGAGGTTTGCAGCTAGCTATTCGGAAGAACTAAATCCCTGATTATCAGGAGGATGAAATTGCAGCTATACAGGAGCCTTCTCTGGAAGCAGTTAATATGGGGAAGAGAAGTGCAATGGAACACTTCTCCAAGCAGGATGTACCATCCCCAGATAGGCACGTGTCTTCCAGCTTGGTGGTTCTTCCAGGGTTTAACTGAAAACCTCCCTGTCACATCTAGATCCAGCCTTCCATTAGCTACTTCTCAGATGTTTCCCGTCAAATTTTCTCATTTCTGTAATGAAGCTTTTGTTTCTATACCAGGTTAAAAAAAAAAAAACACCAAATTTCTGAGGTGAGGAAGCAACGGAAGATGGCAGTCAGCTCATTTGCAGGTCTTTCAAAGGATGACTTTGAGCAAACCAATGTTGCCATGACTGAGACAGGAAAGAACGAAGACCACGTGGAGACGGGAAGCATTAGATTTGAGGGTTTATATTCTATATCAGGCTCCGTGCTAGACATTTTGTATGAATTGAATCAAAACTATACTAGGTTAGAGTTATTGATGTCCTTATTTTACAGCTGAGGAAAGAGACCGGAGAGGTTACATACCTTGCCCAAGGTCACACAGCTCCAAGTAGCTCATCTTAGATTTGCTATACCTGGCCCTGTCAGATTCTAAGCTTCTGCTCTTGATCACAACCCTATATTGTGATCCCCCACCCCTTCATTCCATCCCTCTGCTCTGGATCCTCTGGAGGGCCTCCTCACTTACTTTGAAACTTACTCCTGTTTCTAGCCTTGGCTTGATTCCTTGTTGTATTTCAGATCTCCTAGACATTGGGACTTATCCACAAAGGGCAAAATCACCAAAAAAAAAAAAAAAAAAATCTCAGTCTGCCATGCCTTACTAATTTGGAACAGATTTAAGCCTGGCAAAACTTTTGGAACCTACAGTCCAAAAGTGTGTTGGAGGGTTGGTTGTGGGGAGGGTATTCTAGGCCCATGGGACAGTAGAAGCTGTTGTTTTGCCTCTTTTCTCCTTCTCTTCCCAAAGACCCACCCCATTCTTCTCCCTTAGAGGTCCCTGATGACAAAACCCCTGGGGCAGAAAAAGTGACAGAAGTCCCTTTATTGGAGAGGGCTCCCTTGGAATCAGGGCCTGGACTCTTGTGAGATTCCAGGAAGGAATGGGTCCTCCTCCTCCTGTAGCAGGAAGTGGCTTGTAGGTTCCAACACCTGGATTCCCTCCTCATTACTTGAATCTTGCCTGTTTCTTCAGCTACTGATTTTATCTTTTATCTGGCCAAGAAAAGCACACCTTCTTTTCTGCCTATTGACAGTAGTTGAAATGATCACAGCTGGCTTGGACTAGCAGAATAATCAGATCCAGCTCAGGGAGAGGTGCCTGGGGAAAGAAGGGAGGTGAGGGAGGGGTGATGTCACAGTTAGCCCCAGGATATTGTCTTCAAAATCTCTCTCTCCTCTTCCTTAGCCTCTTTGTAATCTCCAAGATTTCCTTGTCCCCTTCCCTCACATATACAAGACTGATTTCCCTCTAGCTCTTTTCCCACCACTAACAAAGGTAAGAATTTCTTGGTTTTGAAGCAAGGTCCTTAGGGATCCAAGTCAGATCTTTAGATCTGGTTGAAGGCTCTGGGGGGCCCTGACTGCCCCTAAGATTTACAAAAGCCTAGATTCCCATTTCAATCTCTTGGAAGCTAGCTAGCTCTGTTCTCAATGAGCATTCTCTAGAATTGGCACATCTGCCCCAGTCTTGAACCTGAACACTGCCTGCCAGCCTGAACTACAGGACCATTTCTGAAAGGGTATGTCCCTTCTATTCCCCCTTAGTCTTCTCAAACTACCCAGCCATCATGCCAAAGCAATAGCTTGCTGACAGAACAGAATGTTTTCCTCAAATGTCCATCTTTAGCCTGGGTTGACACAGCCAAAATGCAGTTGGACTTCACTTTGAGGAAATTCCAAAAATGAGAATTTACAAAACACCCCACATTTTTGTTCCTGCTAATAACTTATGGCTAAGTTACATACACTAGAAAGGATTCATTCCAATATGAGTAGTGGTTTTAAGTTCTTACTTTTTTATACTCTTCCATGGGATATTTAGGGGTTGGAAGGCAGGATATTAATTTAACATAGTGATGAAGAAAATGTCTAAAATTATTTGTGCAAGTCAGTGGTGATATAGGATCTGAAGTATGTGAATTCATTCCTTTACCATGGCAGGACAGTTTTTGTAAAGCGATATATATAAATAAATCCTCATGGTCCAAAGTGAACGTCTGTGTCAAGTGCCTGTCTTGGGAAAAGGAAGACTAACGAGCCAACCCCTAGTGGGTAAATTCAGGGAGAAGGCTTGATTGACCACACAAAGATCTGAAGTAAAGCCCTTGACCCTCCATCCCTTTTTTGGGAACTAAATGGGTCTTACATTGCCCAAAGGTGGCCACCAAGAGAAGCTGGAATCTGGACTACTGCCCAAACTCAGTTAGCATTCAGCCCTGCCTGGATCATTGTACACTGACCTGCCTACCCCATGGGTTTAAGGGGAGATGATCCAGTTACCTGTTAGGTACAGGCCAGCAGTAGACAGATGTAGAGATCCATATGGGAACAAATGATAACTCTTTCAGGCTATAAAGCTCTTCAAAGAGGAAATGCGGAGAATAGTGTATTAGGGTAGGAGAAAGGTAGGAAGGGAAAGTGATTTCCAATCCACCAACAGATTGGACTTTCTGTCCAGTGATTCTTAAGGATACTGAAATAAAAACTTCCACTATCCCCTCTACCTCTCAAACCATGTCTCTCCACAGAGGACCAAACAACAGGGCCCTTTTGCAAAGAGCAGAGACACCTGGATAGCTGGGACTGGAAAGATTAACTGCAATTAGAGTGAAATAAAACTTCCCCTGTTCACAAGAGAAAAACAGGACAAATACTTTACCTCCAGCTATATTCACTGAGTCAATAGAGACTAAAGCAATTATCACCTTAAGTTTGGGAAGCCTCAATTCTATATAAAACAGATGGAGGTGTGTAATACTTTCTCAATAAATGAAGTGTCAGAACCATCTTGATTCACTGTCTAGTGATACTGTCATTTGTGTATTGGTCATACCTCCATTGACAGCTGCTTTGGTAGCAGCAACCATGTCTTAATCACTTTTACAATACCCTTAGTGCCCACTATAGTCCAGCACGTTGTTGGTCCTCAGTGGAGATGCTTGGCAGGAGTATTTTCCCTCTGTAGTCAGTCTAATGCCTTTTCACCCTTTGTCTTCTGTGGTATGGAGATACCAACCAGCCCAATATGGTCCCTCCCTCCCTTTCAGCCCAATACTGAGAAGTATACACTTGGAGAAGTAGTGCTTCAAAAATTTCTATATCATCGAAAATTGATGAAGCTTCTGAGGTATTAAGCAATCCATCATAACATTTGTGACTGGTTAACTTTAATTTGTCAAAATAAATCTGCAGTATTTTGCATGTTAGTAATACAGTGCTGGTATTGACAGGTAAAATCATCATCTGCTTACATAGAAACCTTCATTTAGGAGCACACCTTAGGAGGGAATGGATACACAATACAAGGCAAATGCAGGCCAAGCAGCGAGCCCTAGAGCATAACAAGTTGGATGTCGGATTTGAGGATTATCTAATACAACTGTTTAGCTGCCAATCTGATAAAGGGGAAGCTCTCAACCAGGTTATAACCAGAAGGGAAAAACACACTCTGCCTTTCGGAAGAGTGGTGGCCGTCGTGCCTTCAACACCTGGCTGAATCAGTTCCTCAGCATCACAACTCATTTCCAGTTCCAAGACACAGGAGAGTTTCACCACATAACTGGTTTGGCCCCCTTTGCAGTGGCCCGCCCTCACTCCAATCCTGCCATCAACTTGCTCCCTCCCAAAAGAAGACACGACGTGGTTTTATTATTGCAGACAAGCTTCATAAGTGAATAAAGAATGCATACAAAATAGCATTTTAACTGAAGTCATACAATGAAGTCTCACTCCTGTTTATTATACAATGAATTGATAAAACAATCATTTCTAGTATATATCTTTTTTTTTTCTTTTTTAAGAACTAATACTTTCAGGATACTGACAACCACACTCTAGCCTGGGGGTAGAGCCCATCACATCTGCCCCCCATTGAGAATTGCTCCTTGGGCCACTATGGAGGAAGCCTGGGCTGTCTAAATCATGGAGAATTATGACTGCCAGTATACCAGAAAGAAATAACTGGACCCAGGCAGAGCCAAGAACCCAGTCTTGGGTGGTCTGGACGCCAGAAAATGTGGGCTTCCTCCAAACGTGGTCCTTGCCCTCCCAATCCAGGCCTTGGAAGGGCCATTCCTGGGCCTTCCCTACATGAGTCCTTCCAGTAGTCCACACATAATGCTCTACATATTAAAAACAAACCATTTTTGTACTGTGGATAAGAACAATTGTAACAAAGTCATAGCTACATATTTTTCTCTACATTTTGTTTATTGAGACAAACTAATTAAAAGGCACAAACATAGGGTATGTTTACATGGACATTATAACAAACATATACATTAAAAGTGTAGGAATGTGTTGCCTTCCTGCTAAACAGAAAGTTCCTAAGCTTTTATATATACAAAAGTTGTACAATTTAATGTCCTAAAGTACAAAAGATCATTTATAAAATTATTTTACACTAGGTACTATTTATTTATTTATTTTTTACTATGTAGTTCAACCCCCTAGAACTGTTTTGTATAATGACATACAGATACCTATCCCTGATATAGGAAGTCTGCCTCAGACACAAGGTATTTTTTATGCTTGAACTGACACAGTGGGGTATAAACGGAAGCCATCCAGTTTGATAGTCAGTCCTGCAAACATTCTGCAGGATCAACACAACTAATTTCCATTTGTCTTAACTGCAAGATTAAAAATGAAAAAAAAAAATCATTGCAACTAAAAAAAAAAAATCACAGCATCTTGGTTTTAGTTAACTCTTTTTAAACACAATGCTTTACAAACATTAATGTGTGGCATGATGGTGTAAAGAGTATCTGTTTCCCTAGCTTTTGGTTTCTACCTTATGTACAGAGATAAAATGTCCTGCTAAAAAATAAAAGCACATGTCTCAACGTGCACAATCATTGCTGGGTTTCTACAGAGAGTACAGACAGCCGTCTCCCTGAAAACACCACAAAGCTGATACAAGTGTTTTATCAAAGAAAAAAAAGTGATGTCCATATTTACAAAGTTGAACAAATCTGCACAATACTTGATTAAACGGAAGGAGGAAAAAAAAGATATACTCTGCTTGTTCTGAAGGGGCATACTACCTAGTTAGTGGTTAGAATAAAAACTGTATACAATTTAATATAAGACATAAACTCTAGTGAGCATCTAACACATCTGTCCCTGTTGTAACATCAACAGGCTCTGATTGGGAGAGAGAGGGGCATATTACATCCCAGTGCCTCCAGCGTCTTCCAATTTAAAGCAATATATTTAAACTGTTCCAAAGTACACCTTGGCTCCTGAACAGGAGTCCCACTGGCCTCTGTTTGTTAGGACCTGTGGGTCCTTACACTTGACTTCTCCTGTCAATTGTGGCCTTTCTTACCAAAACACAATTTGTATATATTTTTAAAGTTTTTTTTTTTTTTTAAAAAGTCAACTACAATGCTATATTCCATCAGGATTAATATGCTGAGCAATATTTACATCTCCAAATATCAGGTCACAATCCCTATTATATGTTGAAGTTAGAATGATAAATTATCATATGCTTTGCATATCAGAGCTGGTATCACCTTTCCCATAGGGAATGCTGCCTGAAATTAACATATTCCCAAAGGTAAAATGCATATTCTCTGAAATGCATTTTATTATGATAATGCATGTATTTACTCATAAAAACAATAAACAGACAATTCTACACTAGCTCTCAATCTGTGGATTTAGAATTTTAAGTTAAAAATCAGCCATCCACCTTGTATAGGGAGAAGTTTCTGCTAGTGTTTAGAAAAAAATGATTTCTTGGGATTAGAAACAGTAATGCTGTTTTTTGTTTGTTTTGTTTTTGAATTTTGATGGGTTTTGTTTTTTTATGATTGGTTTTAATTTGGGCATTTCATCTTGCCAAGTACTATTCTTTTTAAGCAATGCTGTCAGCTAAAAGGAATTTCTGATTAAACTAAAGTGGTCCAGTGATAAAGTTACATATACACCCTACTTTGAACAATCCCAGCCAAATTGGAGGAAAATGCTACTACAGTCTTATTAACTAATGTAATAAAATTCCCCAATTTCATGGTCTGCTTTTTGCTTTAATCAACTAAGAGTAAGTTGCTGGTAAATATTTACTTTAACCCATATTTTGATATTATAATACTGTTTACCAAGGCGGTGAAGTAGGCAAAGCTTGGGGCAAGAAAGGCATGCTTTCTACAGGCCTCATTGCTATATTCAGAGGGGCAGCTAATGTCATGGGTGTGGGCAGGTTCATTGGAGATGTGATCGTGACAGGGTGTGCTATATTCACTGGGGCAGTGACAGGGGTGGGGAGATTGACAGGGGTAGTGAGTGTTAAAGGAGAGGTCATGGATAATGGACTCGTTATAGTTACAGGGTGCCCTATGTTCATTGGGCTGGTTATATTAACTGCACTTGAAACATTTACTGGACTTCTCATGCTCATTGCAGCTGCCACTGTGACTGGGTTTGACATAGTCCCAGAAGACACAGAGGATGTTATATTGAATGGAGTAGTAAGAGTCACAGGTGTCGTAGCAGCCGTGGAGGTTTGGCACAGGTTAGCAGCTTCTAAAATGAGAAGACAAAAGGGGATTTAGACTCTCAAAAAAATGAATAAAATTCACAAATAGTTTCTGAATTACTTATTTTAATTAAAAAGGACAAACATTTAATAAATCAAATTACAGTTTTCTATCAGTGGTCAACAGGAAGACAGGTTCCCTCTGAATACAACCCTGGGAACCAGGAATCCCAATATGCAAATCTTTTCTCTGGTGCTATACCTCCTATAAAGACTAAGGCAACTTGTTTACCTTTGGACTTTTGGTTTAAAATTCAGATTTACTTACCTACCTCATAGTGATGTTGGGAGGATCACTTAACTTCTGTTAAGGCATTCTGGGGGGCAAAGATACCAAGTAGAGCTAAATGTTCTCACTACCTCTTCATGCAGTTCTTCTGAATTTTAAAGACTTTCTGGGTCCAGCCAACCACCAGCAGACCAAGCAAAAAGAGATTATTTACACAGAGCTGGGCCAATGGTTACACAATAATAGATAATCTGAAAAATTTTCTCATAAAGCACACTAATTAGCAGAGAAAGGTGTATATACTTGATGGTATATTAAAGCCTTCTCAGGAGTAATGCTATATTCTGTTAAGGTTTTAAAAATGTATAACTAAGGAATGGTTATGCAAGCTATTTTAGTATCATCTATTTATTTGAGTCATAGAAAAATTGTTCTAGTTAAATAACCTTGTAGTTTCTGATGTTTCTTATTTTTAATAAAGACTACAATAGGTTTGTGTTCTCCTTCTCACACACACTTCCTATTCTTTATCTGATGTTGACAAAATCACCTACTTTATGCCCAGTTATCTTTTGATGGCACATATAACACACACCACCAAGCATACCAAGAAAGAAAACCAGGCAAGAAGACCATAAAGAGTTGGGGGATACTTGTTATCCAGCAATGCCTTAGCACTTCTTTTTTTTTTTTAAATTTTTTTTAATATTTAGTTTTTTAAGTTTTCGGCGGACACAACATCTTTGTTTGTATGTGGTGCTGAGGATCAAACCTGGGCCGCACGCATGCCAGGCGAGCGCGCTACCGCTTGAGCCACATCCCCAGCCCCACCTTAGCACTTCTTTAAAAAAACTTCCCTTAAAGGTGACACCCCTAGCCTACCTCTCAAAAATTCAGCACCACCAGCTGATGTGCCATAAAACAGCAATGAGGACAGAGTGGTGGACTGGTGGTGATTTGGCTCTCAAAAATGAGAAGTGCATTCAAAACTAAAGATGGAGGTCTGTTCGTGGTCACTTGGGGTTCAAATCACCTCAGGTGCCCCCCCCCAAACTCCCCTCCAGCCCTTTATTGATCAATATAACTTTGATATACTTCAAATTCCATGCCAGGAATTCCTAAACCTGGCTGATGATCAAAGTCATCTATCTAGGGAGCTTAAAAAAAAAAGTATCCCTAGGAAGTTCAATAGTGAAATTGAGATTAAAACCTGGGAAATCTCTGAAGCTCCATCAGTGATGATCTGATTTTCATTTAGGTGTGGGAACTCATATTACTTTTCTTGGGTCTAATATTTAAAAGGTCATTGCTGATTCAAATTTGTGTTTTCAGTTCAGGAATCTCCTCTCCCCCCAAAAGCAGCACTTACTAACATGGATATAGAAGTTTCTAACATCAGTGGTCTTTTCCAGAGACATTCATGGTACAAAAGGGAGCACAATAGCATTTTGTTCCACAGAGGTCAGAGAGATGAACTAAACAATCAAATCTTATTGTGCAAAAGCAAACTGAAATACAATACCAAACAGAAGAGTGTAGAAAGAGAGAGAATGGGAGAGAAAGATAACTCACTTTTGAGGTAATGGAGGCATCACTAAGGATAGTTTTCTCCAAAGCAGGAATTTTCACGTTGTGTGCTATCCCCAACCTCCAGTGTTTTCTTTTTGATCTAACGGTGTCTTTTTTTTTTTTTTTCAGTGCTAGGGATATCAAATCCACAACCTTGCAAATGCTCAACCACTGACCTAAACCTCTGGCCTTAACACTATCCTTTTACTAAGACTTAAAACACTAATTTCTACTACTTCTCTAATATCCTTTCAACACACTCTATATTTATCATAGCACTACATTTTTTGGCTCCCACTGCCAGTTCCTATCTTCCTCCCCATTTTCCACCCATTTTCATACCACAAAACATTGTATCAAAATGACAAATCTTCCTTTAGAAGATAGGAACAAGAGGCACTCCTCCAATGCCAGTAGATATATGAAGAATGATGCTATTCCTTTTATCTTTATTTAAGTACAGTATGTTTAGAGGGAGCTGATGAAGGGAACACAATATTTGAAAGTAGAATATAGAAGGAAAAAAAAAACCTACACAGCAAAGGAATTATATACAGGTGATCCTATATTCAGGGGATTCCTTAGATCTTAAAGCAGTAAGTCTTGCAGGAAAAAAACAAGGAATTTAGTAATGGCCTATGGCTCATAGTGGGGATGACAAAATGATTTATTTGAAATAACTTATACAATAGTCCAGAAGTCAAACCTGTAAATATTAAATTGAAAACTGATCCTCCAACTGATTCTTTAAGATATATGTAGAGAAAATGAATCAATCTTAACTTTTAACATTTACAGCAATGTCTCTACAGAAATGCAAAGAAGTTAAGCTAAGGCTAGCCCCAGTAATAGATGGAAGGAGATTAAGGGTGAGACATGGAGAAAGACATCAGCATTATAGATTCTGAATCATGTAACAAAGAATACAATGCAGAAAGAACACTAAAATGCAGAAAACAACATAGTTATAAGAACTTTCTTTCTAAAATATTCCCATCTATAAAGATGGGAATATTTTAGAAAGAAAAAAAAAGGAGCTCAATTTTCTAGTAATAAATGTTTGTCTGTAAACTGTTGCCAATAGGCGGTATTTACATGTTTCCATAAAGCTAGATATCCTGAACTGTGATTTTTCTTTTGATTACTTGGCATACTAAATGAAAAGATTTCTCAAGCCATACTTAGAACACTAGGATGCCTCATCTTACCTTTCTTTCTTGCTTTGACAGCTTCTTCCCACAGTCTCAGTGTCTCTACCTGCTTCCCTGGCCAGCTTGTCACATGTTGTTGTTGCTGCTGCTGCTGCTGCTGCTGTTGCTGTTGCTGCTGCTGCTTCTGATTGCTGGTCTCTTCACTCATGCATGCTATTCCAAAGACAAACCCCAAACACTATATTTACCTTGAAAAAGTGTGACCATTTTTCCAAAATCTAAAGTACTTTGACTCCTTATGCCTTTGTGACCTCTATCATTTAATAGCACTTACCATAGTTCATCTTTTCTTCTATTGGTTTCTGTATTTATCAAAATAAACAAATTGATTAAAAAAATCTAGAGAACTAGGAAAAACCTATACAAAGGAGAAAAGAATTCTTTGCTATATTTAAAAGCAAGTGTTTTATGTCTTAGGGCTATGGATGTAGTTCAGTGGAAGAGTGCTTGCCTCACAAGCATGAGGCCCCTGGGTTCAATCCCCAGTAACTCAAAAACAAAGCAAGCAAGCAAGCAAGCAAGCAAGCAAGCAAGCAAAATACAGTATGGTAAATAAAGAAACTGTCCTTTAAAAAAAAAGTGTCTTGGGCTGGGGATGTGGCTCAAGCAGTAGCGCACTCGCCTGGCATGCGTGCAGCCTGGGTTCGATCCTCAGCACTACATACAAACAAAGATGTTGTGTCCGCCGAAAACTAAAAAATAAATATTAAAATTCTCTCTCTCTCTCCCTCTCTCTTAAAAAAAAAAAGTGTCTTTAAAAATGGAGGTTGAGGGGGCTGGGATTATGACTCAACAGAAGCACTTGAGTAGCATGTGTGAGGCACTGGGTTCAAGTCTCAACACAGCTTATAAATAAATAAAATAAAGGTTCATTGACAACTTAAAAAAAAAAAAGTGGGGGGGGAGCCTCAGTGGCCCATGCCTGTAATCCCAGCAGCTTGGGAGGCTAAGACAGGAGAATAACAAGTTCAAAGCCAGCCTCAGCAACAAGGTGCTAAGCAACTCAATGAGATCCTGTCTCTAAATAAAATATAAAATAGGACTGGGGATATGGCTCAGTGGTCAAGTACCCCCGAGTTCAAGCCCGGTACAGAAAAAAAAAAAAAAAAAGACAGAGGTTGGGTAATATTAGCATAGATTCACCAACAGTTGTTCATTAAAATATCCAATATATTTGCTTACTTGACATACACTAAAAGTAAATTTTTGTAAAGTACAAGATGCTAGATAATAAATACAATGTACTTACAAATAAATAAAGATGGAAGAGATTTAAAACACAAGATTTCTTTCCCATTCCCTTTGGCTACCTATTTTATTGTTGAGAATTTGCTATTTCTGTTGCATAAAATACATTTACAATAAAATGAAAAATTAGGAAAATACTTTCTTCTAGTGATTACAATAATTTTTTTTAAAAGTCTGGGTAAATGCAAGTATTAAATTTTATCCGCATATTTCTGGAATAGTTTATCTTCAATTCTGAAATTAAGGTGAGCAAAGCATTTACACTTTCAAATGGATATGATATTCCATTTCTCTACAAATTTGAATTTGAAAAGCAAACTTATTAACATAGTTTTCATATTTAAGGTTATCATTAAAGACATTTTATTAATATGATCTGGAGTTAGGAGATGCTGATACTCAAGAATCTTAATGATAAATAAAAACAAAATTGTCTAGTATTCAACATAGCTTCCAAGTGGGTTTTTCCTGCCTCAGTTCTAATACACTAGAACTTTTTATTCAAACTCTTTAGAAGAAAGGACACACTGAAAAGGTGTTGTGGAGAAATTTTGCTCTTCTGGTATGGTTGTTATTAGTAGACAAGCGTGGGGGGCTTATCAATGGTGTTTGCATACATGCATGTAAAGCACAGTTGCCACACTAACATACTCTCCACTGACACATGTTTGCACATTTTAGTGATAGGAGGAAACATGTAAGATGAACATTAATAGAGTCCTGAGAACATAGTGAAAATACCTTTGATATATTTTTCAAAATTTAGATTTCATCACTCTGAAATGCAAAAGTCAATCTGAAGCAACACCTACTTTTACTGATGCCCTGTTTACATGTATTACAGTTGATACTTTGGCTCTGTCCATGCGTCTTTAAGTGGCTGGTGATGTATGCTGCACTCAGGAGCTTCCCACAGATATTACATGATACCTTGCCTTCGTGGCGCACCATGTGTGTCCGTAGTCTGTCTTTGGTGGCAAAGGCAGCAGTGCATGTCTGCATGAGGGAGGAAAACTTTTTTTAAATATAGACTATCCTGTTCTACTCATTTTAAAGTACGTTATATTCTATGCATTACTCTACCCATGTCAGCCAGCAAGCTGACTGAATTAGTTGAATTTTAATTGCATGTGTTACTTAGAATCATAATCATACTAAAATACTTGGTGAATTCTAGACTATTCCATTTTGGTAGAAGAAAATATATCAACACAGAGTAGAGAAAGGATGTGAGAACCAGAATCAGTTAAACCTGGATTTAAATTAAGCTTCACCATTCACTAACCACTGTAATGTTGAACAAGTTAGTTAACCTATCCAAATCTGTAGATTTGGATTACAAAACTATTACAGGATTTAAAAGCCTGGCACACATAGCAGGTATTCACTCAATGACATTAGCCTCCTTCCTCCAACCAGATATTTCTTAGAATTCAAATCATTTACTTAAAAAAAATCAGTCATTTGGGCTGGGGTCATGGCTCAGTGGGAGAGTGCATGCCTAGCATGTGTGAGGCACTGGGTTCGATTCTCAGCACCATACATAAATAAATAAAATAAAGGTCCATCAACAACTAAAAAAATATTTTTAAAAAATTTAGTCATTAACAAACATAACTAAAGCAGACTTTCTAACAACAAATTAGGATTTGTTTAGATTAGTGATATTTAAAATAGTCAATTTAACAAAGTTCTTAACCTTTTGATTATCATAACTTATGTCAAATAAAATTGTTAATCTGAAGAGATTTCAACCAACTAGAAAATGTTCCAATTTGGTAACATAAGACAAAAATCTAGTCAATAATCACATTTGGAAGAAAAATTCTTATTTTCTCCTATTACAGTTAAAACAACCTTGACCATCAGTCCAAAAATCAATTTAAAACCTTTTATAAAATTCATTTTAATTATACAACAACTTTTGCAAGATTACAACTTTCACCCTCTTATACCAAAACCGCTGTTTCACAAGAAAAGGGAAATATAACTTAACAAAAACAACACTTACATTTTTCAATGATCTTGCTTTATAGAAACAGAAGCTGTCATTTATATTTTATAAAACTAGAATTCAAATGGACCACATTTACTTAAGTCAGTGATTTTACACCTTTTCAAGAACGGCGAGATTTGACTGACTCAGACTTTCTGGATAATGTGCATTAAGTGCTACACTAAGGATAAGTCATTTTAACTCTTACTTGGCATTTGAAGGGTCTTTCTGTTGAATGGACATGTTTTACGTGACAGCTTAAGTGGTCAGGCCTGTGAAAGAGAGAGTTTCAATAGAAGATGTAATGGAATACACACAGAGAAATGTTATTTATGTGATGCTTACGTGCTTGAGATTGAGGGGGAGCATTTTAAAGAAAGTAGCAGAATTACAAACTCCACCTCCCCCCAGTGCAATCCTCCTTACCTCTCTTACCATAAATAAAAAAAGTCTTAGTTGTTTACCTGTTAATTTTCTCCTAGCCAACATCAAATCATATTAGGTCTTGATTCTTTACAATCACAAAATACCCAAAGTTTTAGTCCTAATTTACCAGGAATGGCTACTACCATATTAACTCTAAAAATTTTTTAAAAATGCAATTAGTGAAATGTTAGTGCCCACAGAAAAATGGGAAAACATTCTACAAGTTTTATTAAGAGTATCCAAGGTCATCCCAACTTCCAGGAAATAAGTTTCCTTGATTTGCACAGTAAACCTCATGTCTAGTTGCTCAGCTAAATTGGAAGCTTTTGTAACGATAAGAAGTACCCACATGCTAAATGAAGGCCTGAATCTGAGGGACTTCTTAAATGAAATAACAAACTAATCACCATGACACCACTTGTCAACCGCACCAAACTGGAATCAGACCTGGAGGCGTAATATTTATCTATCATCAATCTCCTCTAATAACACAGGCCTGCCCACATCTATTCTCATATACATCTCCTAGATCACACAGAGACAAAACTGAAGTTCACAGATAATCATAATGAAAAAAAAGGAAAACAAAAACAAAAACAAAGCAAAACGCAGTACCTCGAGAATCCTTTCCCACAAACACTGCAAGTATAGGGTTTGGTGATGCCTCCTTCATGAGACCTCACATGGTAAGTCATCCGGTCCTTCCTCTTGAAGCGCTGATTACAAATAGGACACTCGAAGGGCTTTTCGTCCGAATGAGAGAGCTTGTGCCGATTGAGGTGATACACATCTCTAAAAGCCTTCCCACACATCTCACAAGCATGGTTCTTCTTGACAGGCTTACTGGGTTTCTTAACAGACTGGGTCACAGGCATAGCTGTGGTGCTGGCACTGCTACTGGGGTTGGTGCCCGAGGAAGATGTAGTGACTGTAGACAAGATGCCTGCAATGGTGGAGACCAACGAAGTTCGGCTGCTGTCCCCTGCGATGGTGGAAATAAGGGGAACCACCGTGGTGGGGGTTTTCTTTGACCGGGACACCAACTTGATCCCTGTGTGGCAGGACTGATGGCGCCTCAGGTGATAGCTGTCCCTGAAAGCTTTACTGCAGTAAGTGCACACAAATGAAGTTTTGGGTTTTTCTTTTTTAATCCCAATGGCATCCTTTAATGTTTCTGGTGCAGCCTGAGGTTTCTGAGTTATTGGTATTGGAAGCAAAGGTTTCTGATCAGGGGGCTCCACAGCAGAGCTCAGGAGGGGCAGCAAGCTGTTCTGTGCTGCCTGCTGTTGGTGATGGGAGGCTTCATGGGCCTAAAACCAAACATTTACACTTGAGAAACTCAGGCTCTCACAATGACCTTCAAAATTCAACATGTTCCAGACAATAGAGACCAGAAGAAACAATAGAAGAGCCCATGACTCTCTGCAGCAGAGATCCAGCAATCACCTCAGAGCTCCAAATACAAAGAGTTGAAAATCACTGTGCAGACACAAAACTTTTGCAACTAAGTTGCTGACAGTGATCTTGCTTTCAAATAGCTAGCTGAATTACAAACTACTCTGGTTCATAAGGGGCACAACAGCTGATGAAAACAGTTTGCATTTGTCTGAAATCAAGTTTAAATAACTTGTCAAAAAAATTATACCCCAGACTTAAGTATTTAACAGCAGTACCTTACTGCAGCAACACACAAACACACACTCATACACAATGACATAATCATCTACTTGCCTATTACCCAGTAAAGGAAAAAACACCATGTTCCTCCCTTTCCATCAGCAGAAAACGTTTAAGTGACTGAGTTATTGATATTGGAAGTAATGGTTTCTGATCAGGGGGCTCCACAGCAGAGCTCAGGAGGGGCAGCAAGCTGTTCTGTGCTGCCTGCTGTTGGTGATGGGAGGCTTCATGGGCCTAAAACCAAACATTTACACTTTGCTGTTGCTAAGTGGTGAAAGAAACCTAGCTCCTAAAATACATATGCTAGTTATTAGTTTTAAAGTTTTCACTTTATTAAAAGATTTGGTTGAAATGACATCTGCTATCAACCTGGAAGGCATCTGTGAAGGTAGCCCATGGCAAAACACCTGTCACTTGTTTCTCAGGTCATTTAATCTTCCACTAGAGTCTGTATCCTTTAGCAACACTAGCTGTTCAAACCCTAACTCAAAAACAGATTAGTAAAACAAAGCAAAAAAAAAAAAGAAAAGAAAAACTGTAAACACTTAAGTTCCTTTCACGTCCATCTTCTTCCAGCAGTTGTAGGTTTAGATAAAGTTTTATATATTTGCTGTATACTGTGCTTTTCCACTCCAAAACTGGGGGCTGGACCACTGTCTGGAAATTTTCTTTAGCTGCACTGAAACCAAAATTTCATCGTGGATCAGGTTCTTGGTATCTGAAGTTACTCTCTTGGTTTTGATTCTTTCAAACTTCTCCACACCTCCATATAGACACAGATTTAGAAAATAATGGGGAAAAAAAATCTGAACTAGTTCTTTAACAATATTATTTTGAAGCCCTTGAGAGTAAGCCCAAGACCCCATACTTGAGTTTTGTAATCCTAAAAGAACACGGACACTCAGAGGTAAGAGTTCCAAGTATTTTACACATACAATGTGCTAGGAAGGGCCCATCCCATCATCTTAGATACTTTAGACTGTTATTTACCCTTTTCACTCTATAATCACTTGATCAGCTAACCTCATTAAAGAAGGAAAGAAACAAGGAAACACACTTACACACAGCTCCTCCCCTGATGGATAAGAACATCTACCATACTCCATGTTTACTTAATGGCAGCACAACAGCTTAGCCTGGAATTATTCTTCCCAAATGATAAGGAGGTGTGGTAACCAGAGTTATCAATTTCAATTTAACAATTCTGATTTAAATAAACTTTGGGCCCTGGAAGCACTCTCAGAAACTGATTACTTATGAGTATCTTTCTAGACTTAAGGCTTATATTGAATTACAGTCCACTTTTAATCTAATTTGTGGAGCTCCTATAACTGTTGGGGGTCTACCTACTAGGTGACATTAGTAAAACTACTGAATTTGGACTCTAGTATTATTTCTTTTCCAACCTGGTTGTAGGATAACCAAGTTTCAATACAATATGCAAATGGTTAATAGTTGAAGACAGCTCAAGATATACAGTTTCAAAAGGTGACAGATCAGAAGGTAGGGAATGAAAATCTTTTGGACACAGTTCAAACTTATAACATTTTGAGGCATTTTTTCAATTCTAAATAACCATTAGTACAATAGAGTACTAAAAGCATTTACTGCCATTTTACCAATTCAGATGTCTATAGCAACATAAAGTATTTTTACAGCATTGCTGAAGTTTACTCTCACACAAAGGTCCTATCAGGTCCCTGCTTCTTGGGTGAAATGCTGTAGAACCACTACTGGAATCATTTTCTGAGGATTCCTTGGATTCCCACGCTTCTACATGTAGCCTTCTTAGAGGGGAACTGGGTTTTCCCGACTTGCTATATCTACCACCCTGGGTGATGCTTATTTTTAAAATATAACTTCTAGGGAGGTTTTCATATGACTAGCATCATTGACTCAAAGTTTTAATTTTATCTCCTCTTTCAAATGCAAGGATTTTTTAGCCTTGCCCAAGCTTTTCTTTTTCTGGGGCTTGCAAAAAACAAAACTGAAATGTTATTTCATCACCCACGGTGGTAGATATGGCACCATGAAATCTCCAGTGCCAGAGGGTAAAGATTTTGTACTGAAACAAATTAGCATGAGTGAGTCACATCTTGAATGTCCTGTTAGGAGAACCATCCATCAAACATTTTAACAGCAATGGCTTTCACTTTCCAAGTTATCTGGAAAGCAAGCAGGTATTAAATTGCTTTAAAGTATAAATTCAACAGGATGCTCCAGGAAACAAACAAGAGACCCTAATTCTCCATTTCCCCAGTGAAAGTTACTTAAAAATCAGAATTGATTAAGGTTTATTCATATCTTTTTATAGGAAAGTTTGAGATATTTTTACCCACTTAACTGTTCTCAGCTCTAAATTGTTATTCAACAATTTTCACTGTGCACATCGCCAAACCCAGGATCAAATATAAGCTTTCACATTTCTCCATCAGGTGGAGAAATGATTTTAAGTAATATAAAAAAAAAATCAAGTAATACAAAACCTTATTTAAAAGTTGATCAAGAGGGCTGGGGGTTGTGGCTCAGAGGTAGAACACTAGCCTAGCATGCATAAAGTACTGGGTTTGATCCTCAGCACCACACAAAGTAAAATAAAGACATTGTGTCCACCTATAACTAAAAAAAATATTTTAAAAATTGATTAAGAAATACTAGTCATTTGCTTTGTCCAGGAAAAGAATTATAATTTTTTAAAAGTGTTATAAAAGATATTTTTAAAAGCTTTTCAAAAATGAGTTATGTATAGGTTATCCTTTTGCATAAAGAACTTGTTTTTTTTTTCCCCAATGTCCAGTAATTTTATAGTCACAGGTTTAATACAGTTTTAACCACGTGAAAATTACTTCTAAGGCCCATCAATCCTTTATTTTAAAATGACCATCTGAACTTTTTTTAGAGAAGGCATCTGACACCTTTACCAATCTGGATGCCAGCTAGTTAATACACTCTTTTTCAATGCATTTTTAGATTGATTTATCACATTAATATCAAGTTCATCAAAACACAATAAAACAATATTAAAATCAGAGGGAAAGCTCATGAATTCCATAATTTTGAGTATTTTTCAATTTTAAGAAGCCCCAAAATATTTGACAATTACTTAAAAATCAAATTGCCCACATTTGAAATATACATCCTAAAACAATAAACCAGGTCTACACAAAAGGTGATTTGAATTCTCCAATTCCCTATATTAACTCCACTGGGATGGCATCGGAGGCTAGACGGATAATTTGAAAATTCTGCATCCGTTCCTGGTTAGTTTCAAAAGGCCTCGCGCCAAAGATTCGCGTTGGGGATTTCACGAAGTATTCAAACAAGGAAAATAACTGAGAGAGGCGGGAAGGACGCACTTAAAAGTGTCGAGCTTCCTAACCTCCTCCGGTTCTGAAGTTTCTTGGTTCTGAAGTTTCTCCGTTGAGCTCATCTCCACTGTCCACTAAATGCTTCGTTTGAAAATAGAAACGAAGCAGAAAAAAAAGTTCCAGCCTAGATCTTCCAAACAGGGGTTCCCTACCTAAAGTGGGAGGGTTAGAGGATGGTCAACATATCGGCAACAACCGCTTTTAAGTTTCTTGCAAAAAGCGAAGACCAACACCCCAATGAGTGACTCATCTAGGGGCTTTGTAAGCGGACTTTGTTTGCGCTCTCCGCTTTCGGTCTCCCCACTTGGCTGGAGGAAACGTTCGAGCCGGCCGCGAGAAAAGCGCTCCGGGAAAGGTCGGGCCTCCAGGAGTCCCGGCCCCCGCCGCTCCCCCGCGCCCCCGCCCCCCTACACGACGCTCGGCTGGGGGATTCCCCGAGCTGAATGGGACGGCGGGAGAGATGGACAGAGGGAGAGGGTGCCAGCTGCCACGGCTCGGCTGGGGCTTAGGAAAGAAAAAGGAAACCCAGTGAAAAAGTTTGGGGAGGGGAGACACAAGCACAACACCCCCTTCTAAGTGGGTAAACACAAGGGGGGCGGCGGGAAGGGGGAGTGGCGGGGAACCCAGGGAAACCCGCTATTCCGCAGGATGTAGGAGGAGGTCAGAAAGTCAACACACACGCACACACACAAAAAGAGAGAAGAGGGAGGGAAAGAGAAAGTGCGAGCGAAAGATGGATGAAGTGTGTCGGGAGGAGGAGACTCAGAGTAGGACCCGGGGACCCCCTCACCCCACGGTGCGCGGCCCGGGCCAGGCGCGCAGTGACCGAGGGCCCGCGCTATCCAGTGGCCCGGCGCCCTTCTTTCTCTGGGCCGCGGGGTGGTGACAGCCACCGGCCTCCTCCCTTCCCCTTCAGAGCGGGAGGGAAGGGTGTGTGTATGTGTGTGCGTGTGTGCTAGGGGGGGGGGCCCGGGGTTCACCCCGAGGCCTGTTCTCTCCCCCGCACCCCGTGAGGCCGCCTCCTTTCACCTCAACAGCCGGGCTCCGCCGGGGCGGGCAGGCGGAAAAACAAAGGGGGATTAAGGCCGGGCCGGAG